GTTTAACTATGAAATATCTATTGTAAAAATAAGCCCTACAAGGAGTGTCACAGTGTGAATACCGTTAAATAATTGAAACTTAAATGCTGATACATAAGCCATGAGCTCCATGCGTACACTAACACTACCAGATACTTTCAACTACAGTAGTTCTGTCAATATTTATTTTATATTAATTTTTAGTTCCATTACAAGAAACATACAGTGTATTTGCCTCTTTTCCCACAAAAAAAAAAAAAAAAAGATTTTCATATAAAAGATTGCTAAAAACAATTTATGATCAGTGACCCAAATATATATTTTAAAATATCATTTATAATCGTTTGTTCTATTTTTGTACTTTTCGACGTTAAATCACAAATTAAGTTATTTATTTTTAGCCCACTCTCTGAGAGAGAGGGCTTATATGATGATTCTGAGTAAATTTTGAAGTCATTTGTTTTTCTATCTCCTCCTTCGTTTGTGACGCGATTAGGCCGATCTTGAAATAATATGGAAGAGGCGTGGAGAATTTAAAGTATGAAGAGTTTTTGCGAAAATATTGTCGGGAAGTATGTGAAAAGTATGTTTTTTTAATCATATTTCTTAACACTACGGAGGGCTTCCTATGAAAGCGTGTTCGTCATTGATCAGATTACAAATCGCCTGATTCCACATTGTGTTTATCAACCAATCACGGCCTGGAATGGTAAGCTTTGCGGCTAATAAATGCGTCTACACGAGTCTAGTTTGGCAGCGAAGAATGAGCCGTTTTGTGGTGCTTGCAAGGGTGGGTGGTCTCTCCCCTGAGAGATAAACAATGTACACTACTGTAATGCAGGCTGGCCTAGAGCCAGAGGAAGACGAACTAGGCCTATAGGTTGGCTGGGTAGTACGTGTGTGTAATAGATCAGATAACAGGAAGTAGGCTACAAGTTGCTTTTATGTGTATTAAACCACAAAATATTCAAATTAGTTAGTAGCGATGAATGTATGTGTGCAGCACATTCGTGTCAATGTACTGTAATGCAGGCTGGCCCGACGAAGACGAATAGGCTGGCTGGGTACGTACGTGTATGTACGTAGGCATAGGCCCTAGTCTAGATCAGATACTACAGAAAATAAATAAAGGCTACAAGTTGCTTTTATGTGTATTAAACCACACATTCAAATTAGTCAGTAGCGATGAGTGTATGTACAGCACATTTCGTGTTGCCGCACTGTGCTGTGGTTGATGACGAGGACGTTGCCGTTAGATACATGATAGCAAGGTCCCGCATGGAATTTTTGTTCTATTGAGACGGTAGCTTTTCAGCATTGCTCTAGGATGATTTTCCTTTACATTTATGAATTTTTTAGCTTTTCGTACTCTACA